GATAATTTGCTAGTTTTGTATTACTAAAATTATTGAAAACATATATTACACAGGGTTAGAGTTAATACAGTACATAAGTGCAAATATTTTAGAGGTGGTTTATCTCGACCTCAGGAACACGTCTATGATGTTTTTCCCAAAAAAAATGTTGAAAATTTTCTTTTAAATTTTCCTCTATATTTTGGAAAATTCTTTAGAACTGCCTATTCACCGCAAATTTTCCCACGGTATAATTTCTTAATCTCTGATATTATCATGGTTATGGCTTTACTATAGCACTAAAAGGGATGCAAATACAGAAAAAAATCCGTCTCTCATTTTTTTTAAAAATAAATATTTTTTTTTTAATTTTTAAACTTGAATAACTCGGTTATTTTGGATTTATTCGAAAAACGGTAAATAGAAAATATGTTTGTTAAAGTTTAACGAGATCTACGAGCCCTGAAGATATTTGCACTTATTTAAGACTCACCCTGTATAATTACTTACCAGTGAAAAGTTTGGTTTAGTTTGGTACCATTATTTTCGTGTTGTTGTCTGAGCCTCTTTAAGTTTCATTATAATCTCACTCTGAGTCAAGTCCTGACACATTGTCTTTCAAAATTTGTACACTTTTCACACAAGACTAACAAATCTGTAAAAATTTAAATAAATTTTAAATGTGTCAAGTGAAATGTCTAACAAAACTGTCAAAACTGTCTTTCGTTTTTTTTTTAACTCAAAGTTTGACATAGTAATATGACATATAACATTAGTGTATGGCTGTAAAGATCATGTCATGTGGTAAAAAACACTTTATTTAAAAAGCAATGAATTACTACTGACTTTTTTCGCACATATTTATGTACCACACCCTGTATATATCAATAGAAAGCTTTGCTATTCGGTTTATAAAAATAACAATTCGGCACACTATTTTTTGCCGCCTGGAGACCTAGTTTGAGGTAACTGACTTTTAAAACAGAATATTTTCAGCTACAAATATTTATCACTTTTAAAAAGTCCTTGAACTGATCTATAAGCATCATGTACGTTGAGTATTTTGTTTTGTTTTTCTTCATTTTGACAAATTAATTTATTTTTAGGACAAAACCTTTTAAAAAACAACAATTATTACATGATTATATTTTTAAATTATATTTTAATGTCTATACCTCTACAGAAGTTTTTTTAAATTTTTTTGAAGATGTTATATTTTTCTTTCAATGAAAAATTTAGCAAAGTGATTTATAGTTAAAAACGTGTATTTTAAACGAGGCTTTATAAAATAACAGTACAATTAGAATGGAGCAATCAACATTAAACTAGTTGACAATACTGTATTAGAGAATTTTAAGATTAATAATTGGTACTAATGCTATAGTCTGTGAAATAATGACTAAAGAATCCAAGGACAAATAACACCAGAGAGCAAATTGTGACGCTGTCACCAAACAGTGCCATGGCACATATTTTTGTTAACCTAGCTGTTTGAAGCAATATTTATATTTTTTGATAATTGTTTTGACTACGCCTATGGTGTATCATCCTAATTAATTACGAAAAAAACGTATTAAAATGTTAACAAAAGGTACAAAACTAGTATCGACGTATAGCACATATCAAGTACATATAGATGTTAATTGAAATTGAAGAATAATTATCGAATTCAATAAGAAAACGCTAAAAAGTTGGAGTGAACTGTTTATTTACCTATGAAACGTAACTCCTGGCTCTTTCTTATCGCTGCTGCTTTTACACTTGAAAGCTGAACAACTAATCACCATTGTAATAAAGTTTATACAAATTGTACTACACACAAACTATTAAAAATCGCTAAAATTGTCGCTGGTGACCAAATGATGACTCATTGTTTGCCACCAAAACAAAAAAAAAGGTCACAAATTCTGCCGCAGCCCGTTAGGGGCGTTACATGTCCTTATATTCTTTAGTCATTGCTGTGAAACGAATAACTTTGAATTTGACAGTTCCAGCGGGCTTTTCTAGTGTTAATTTTACTAGGTTAGCAACTTGCGGCCATGCTGACGCAATGCCGTCTCTAATAGAACAGCCTCGGAGCAAGATTTATGACGTCACGTTAGTTAGATACTACGGATTAATAAATATGTTGTAGAATACATGGAAAACATAATTATTCCTTGTATTTTAGGTTTGTATTTTAAAAATGATATAGTTTACATGAAATATATATAATATACAGTTAATAAATACAATATGTATACCTATTTTTAGTAATAAATACTTTGGCAAATCAACTATGAACCATACAAATGCAGCAAATGTTTTACAATACGGCTGAAATCGTACTCCATAGTCAATATAGATAGTTTTAGTGTTAAGAATAATAATTTTAAAAATATGTGGTCATCTTTCAATCAATTTAAAGAATATCAGTAACTTTTTTGACAGAGGGATTTTATATTTACCATTTTGGTAAAAAATAACGGTCAAAATTCAAAGTTATTCATTTTATAGACTATAAAAGAAATTATTGGTTGAAAAATTTTAGCAAATGACTAAAACGTTACAAATTTTTTAAAATTATATTACTTAAAACTTACAGTTGCCTGCAATGTCCCTGAATCTAAATGCATCAATTCAACATTAAAATGCCTGTTCTATTAACATACCGAAGTATATTTTTGGTGACATTGAATAAACTTACTAATTTTAATTTCAGCGCACAACTTCCTATAGTTACAGGCCGACCTAATTTACAGAGATTCGGCTAAATATAATTTCTGTAGCATATTTTTTGGATCTACACATATATTTTGAAGTATTCTTTATATTTTTATACATATAAAAATTAAATTTTTAAATACTTACTAATAATATTTTTTGTAACTTTAATGTTGTTATAGACAAATTGTGAGAAATATCTCCAGAAATATAGTATATTTTGTTGAAATATAATTTTGTACATTAAATGTATCATTTTATAGTTAATAGTCAATTATATAAACTCTTTGAAGTGCAGTGAATAATATTGCCAGCAAAAATAAACTGGCAAAGCACATTAAAGCTACTACTACTATTAATACAGATTTATGATTGAAAAGTAAATCAGATCGATTCTAAATTTAGAACAGAGATTTCAACGTGTAATAAAATACTGTGTTTAATTTACAATAAACCTCAACTTCATTTATTTTGTTAGCCATAATTCTTTTATTTAACTATACAAAAAATAACTTTTTTTCAAACGTCACAGAAGTATTAATTTTTGCGACGCCATTGACAACGCTTGACAATGATTGAATTACGCCTAAGAATAAAAGTATGATAATATATTATTAAACTGACATAAAGTGTCAAATTAAACAAGCGTAACCATAGTTTCTCGATATACCGTGCTGGCAACTGTTACTTTTGGGTCGGCATTTAATGTGTGGAAGTAAATCGCATAGGGATCTTATTAAGTCGGGGTGAGAGAAATGCTACCGACCGACGCAACGCGCGACGGTGTGCTGTTGCGGCGTTGCCGATACGCCTTTCCCTATCAAGTAAAGTAAAATCACGATCGCAAACCGCTTATTTTTAAATACATTTTTTTTAAAAAAAATAACTAGATAAAATCATTAGACATGTTTCTGAGCATCTGAAATGCAATTATAAGGATATCCTTAAGGTGTCATTTTTTTATAACGAGAAAACGTCAGTAATCGCGATAATTTAAAAACTGAACTTTTTAACACATAACAGGCCATAACTCAAGAACCACTTTAGACATTGAAACTTTTTTTTTATTTGCAAGATCGGGTATTTTACAATATGTTTACATAAGAAAAATTCGATAAGGTTGTTTTTTTCCATTCAAAAATTGTAAACAATCCATCCATTTACTTTTAGAGCATAGCAATTTTCAGCAATCGTGTAATTTTTTTATTGATAAAGATTTTCACATACTGTCTACAAAGAAAATAGAGCAGAAATATTAACAAAGTTCTTGAAAAAACTACAATCTATTATTTCTAATAGATTTCGAGATATCGATTTTTGAATTCAGAGTTCTAATAGCGCGACCACTATCGAACACCCACTCAATTCCACTTATTTTTACCAAAAATGCAAGTGTTTCTAGCTTGTACTTAAAAAAATTCAAGCTAGAGGGAAAATTACAACGACTCGTTAATAAATCGACAAATCAAGTATCATGAGACGTAAATAAATCGTGAAGCTGAACGCATGACGTACACCTTTCCCTAGAACTTTAAGTACTGACAGAGGTATTGATTGGGTCGACCGGTCAACTCAAACAAATCTGCTATATCCCCTTCCACGTGCTTCCACGTCTCTTAGCGATGTGCACAGTTTCTCGGTTTATTTCATACGTTTGGCAACGTGTTTACTGTCCTCTCGTTGTTTAGTACATTATAAACGCATTGTACTCTTCTTACATAGGGAAATCTCAACCCAAGACTAACCTTTGCCAGCCCTTAGTATATGTAATTATATACAAGGTATGACTTTTAAACCTTTTTATATTATTTGGAACGTTTGAAATTGTTTAAAAACTTATTTGTGGCGTTTGAAAAAAAATAGCACTAAATATAATAATGTCTAAAAATAAATATTTACTATAATTAGTATATTTTATTAAGTACATTATCGGATAAAGTTCAACGATGTATATTTATGTCAATAATATTCAGTAATTTTTTATATAGAGATTTTTTTATAATATCGTTAAACTGGATTCTCATTTTATATCTGGAAATTATCTTTTATTAGGCACTTCCTAATTAGATATTCTGTGTTTAGTACCTCGAAAAAATAAAGTATTTGCTAAATAATTCATTTAGGAACTTATTCTTTAATTAATTACTTTTTTATATAAATTATTGAGTTGTTCCTGACTTTTTTATGTTTTTTTCTCAAAAAAATATTTTTTAAGTGTTATTTAAAAAATGATTTTTATTTTAAAAAATAAGTAATCAAGAGAAAACAATGTTCTGCGTAAAATTTTCTATAAAAATACATTTTCTCCTTTTTTTCAGGGTTGTCTGAAATTGCAACATTACCCTGTATCATGGAAACTATAAGAAGGCCATGAAAAATTTTGTTCCGGCATCTTTGGTTTTACAAAAATCTAGCTAAGGTTCGTGAAAATTTCAAGATTCTATCTTTACTAATAAGCGATCTTGACTTAAGCATCATTTGCAACCCAAATTGTTCACTGTTCACAATTCAACATTTTTTATTGATACTGAATTGATAAAAAATGACGACATAAGTTATAAACAAATGCTGTTTTATAAAATGTGCATCTAACATGCTGGAGGGTTTGAAACACAGAGTGTTTCAAAAATCATGTGCCACCAGTCCGAATCTGCTTTGTCTCTACAGGAGGTTAAAACTTTAACCTTTTTTTCGATTTATTATAATTTTCTCCCAAGTGCTTTTAGCGACTCGAATGAAATTTGGAGGGTAAATATTACTATGAATGATACATATTTTAATGCTAAAAAAGCATCGACTCATCACGGACGTGCATTTGGGTTATCAGTGGATTATTTTTCTATAAAAACATGTGTATTACGACTTACGACTGACACTGACTTACGTCTTTTTCCTCTTAGCAATAAATTTCTGTAGGCCATTTAATGCCGTTTAAAAATTGTATCTTGATATTTTGTCTATTTAACGCAATTTTATTAATCACAATTAATAAAATTAAAATAAAAGTAAAATTACGAAAATAAAAAAATAAATTTATACGAACTTTTTTTCATATTTTTTAATGAGGAATCAATGAGTACTTATTAAATATTTTGACAAAAGTTATTGACAATATTTTTTTTTAAAAATAAGGTATTATTAAAATTGGATTAAGGCATATTAATTAAATTGCGTTTATATCATCAAGTAGACTGAAATCGACAAAATATCAAGAGTAAAAAAAATAATTTGTTACTTCCAATTTTTTGGATAATGCTATATAATATATGGTACTAAAAATTGAGTTTTAAGAAGGTTTTTTTGCTCAATTTTGCTCGAATGTGTTAAATGAAACGTCAACCAAACTGTCAAAAAATGGCATTTCATGACGTCGATTTCGAGTACGTACTAACGTACTAACACATAAGATACCCCAAATCTCAAAATAATCTTTCGAAAAAGTAATGTGTAACAGTGTAATCAAGAAATGTGACAACAGTATAGTCCTGAGGAAGGTATTACAGGGTGTTTCAAAAAACATGTGCCATTTCTCGTGGGGAGATTCCTCACGTAAAAATAAGATTTATTTTTTATATCAACGATTCCGCTTTGTGCTACTTTGTCCGATTCTGCTTTGTGCTACATTTTTTTAATGCTAAAAAAGTGTCGATAAGTTCATCAGGGACGTGCATATGGGTTATCAATGGAATATTTTTCAAAAAAACATGTGCGCCACTGTTTTTTTTTCTTTTGATATTTTGTCGAATTCGGCCTCCTTGATGAGATTTAAAAATCTTATTTTTACGTGAGGAATCTCCCCACGAGAGATGGCACATGTTTTTTGAAACACCCTCTATATGTATATATCAAAACGTCTTGATCAAAAATTTTGAGATTTATTTGAACCAAATCCAAAAAAAAACAATTAGATATTTTAAGTTTATTTTCATCTTCCTCGATTATTGTGCTTGTTACTTTGAAACAATCCATCCGGAAAAGTAATCCAGAGCTCAAAAAAAATACAAACACACAGTAAAAACGCTCCATTAACTCAGTTTTATATACTGGCCTATAACGCCGGAGAGCAGATTCTAAATTTATCGATAAAACTCGAAATTTTCTCGACCGCAACGCTGGTCACCAAGTGGGAGACCTCACTACACAAACGCCAGCATATTTCCAAATTATTATCCCGGCCGGTATTCTCAGTTTCGCACAGTCTCATCATCCGTAGCCTGCTGCACAATGAGCGGGCCCTTCAAGCGTCGTTCGTCCCTCAAAGCCCTTCCTGCACTAGGTCCTGCGATCAGGAGGACCTCCATTAGGCGGCAATCGTCAGTGGGGTTGCCCGGAAGGATCACCAGCTCTTCGGCGCCTCAGGAAGTGCCATGGGACGTCTTGGACAGGTGTCTGTTGCCGGTGGCTTTCTGCCATGGGGCTGCGTTTACCCTGAGCACGGTGCTGAACGCACTGCAGATCTCTCAAGTGACCACGTTTACGTTGTTCGTGATATTTACCATAGTCGTACTAGGATTAGTGTTTTTCTATCATAACTTGAAGGTGAGTGGGTCAGTTTTGTTATTAGTCATGCCAGTATCTAATCTAAAAACCTGAACTGCTTCATTTAGAAGGTCGAATTTAATGGAATAAGTTAGGGATTTCAATTATAGTTTCTTATTTCTATACTACCTTCGTTCTGAACATAGAAATTAGGAGCTTCAAGGAGCGTAGCATAACACCTAAGCATTCGGAACATCAACATTAGTGGTAGTAATTCTCAATCTTTATTCAGAACCTCGCAATTAGTGGAATAAATTAGTGGTTTTAATTAACGTAGAAGTTTGTTCCTTTAATTTCAATGTAAGCATTCAGAGCATCAAAATTATTGATAATAATTTTCAATTATTAGAAAAAGTTATCAAACTTTTAACTTTTCCACTAATTATACTTTAAAATTTGCGAGAAATGTCATTTTGTCCTTTCATTATCTTCCGTCAAGAGAAATTGTGTTTAGAAATCAAAAGTTGATTGTTTGATAAGCTAAATATTAGGCTTTCTTTATACAGGGTGGCCCATCGACAACGTTCCTCAAGGCATAACGGCCAGGGTAATTTTTTTTTCAGAAAATCCAAAAACACGTCAATTTTGTTTGTGAGGGAGACAACTTTTGCCCCAAAAATGATTGCAAAATCTTCAACCCTCTAAGCGGGGGTGTCAACCCCCAACTTTTTTCAAATGGGAAGGGGGGTCAAGTGGCACCGCAATGAAAAGGGCTTTCTATTCTCTATATTTCCTCGCTTCGTTTTTGAAAATTGGTCGAGTCATTGAGAAAATATGACGGATTGAAATTTGTAAAGTTTCTTTAAACATTTATCAGAGTAAATGATAAGGATAAATTCCTTCGACCAATTTGTTGTTTTTTCTTATTATTTCTAGATGTTTACGCATTTTTTCACTTACCACAAGGTTGAACGATCAGGTGCGGTAGTTGCTAGATAGCTGTTCTGTGACTTGTGCGTTGAAGTTCTTCTTAATATTGTTAAACTTTTTAACAATTATGGATTATGGTCAAGTACTGGTAACTTGCAGAAAAAGTGGAAATAATCGAACTTTGTTTTAAAAATAATGAGTGTGGCAATCGGGTTGCACAGATTCAATGAACGCCATCCTGACAAAAACCTTTATGGCAAAATTTTTCGCGAATTAGTAGCAAAATTTCGCGAAACTGGTTCCGTTATGAATAAAAAGAGGCAAGGGGAAAATCCTGTAGTAAATGAAGCTATGGAGGTATTCGTATTGTGCCAAGTTGCCATAGATAGTACGCTGAGTACAAGAAAATTAGCCAGTGAGACCGGCGTGATTCGTACAAGTGTCCAAAGGATATTAAAAAAAAAGTTCCACCCGTACAAAATTCAGTTGGTACAAGAACTCCACGAAGACGATTTTGATCGTCGCGGTCTGGTATTTTTGGAAATTCTATTGTAGGCCAGTTTAACGATATTGAGACCGCACCTGATCGTTCAACCCTGTGGCAAGTGAGAAAATGCGTAAACATCTAGAAATAATAAGAAAAAACAGCAAATTGGTCGAAGGAATTTATCCTTATCATTTACTCTGATAAATGTTTAAATAAACTTTTCAAATTTCAATCCTTCATACTTTCTCAATGACTCGACCGATTTTGAAAAACGAAGCGGGGAAATATAGAGAATAGAAAGCTCTTTTCATTGTGGCGCCACTTGACCCTTCCCATTTGAAAAAAGTTGGGGGATGACACCCCCGGTTAGAGGGTTGAAGATTTTGCCATCATTTTTGGCGCAAAAGTTGCCCCCCTCACAAACAAAATTGACGTGTTTTTGGATTTTTTGAAAAAAAAAATATCCTGGCCGTTATGCCTTGCGGAACGTTTTCGATGGGCCACCCTGTAGATACAACTGACTAACGCCAAGCTGTTGCTAGAATATTCTATTAATTTTAATTGTATTTTTAAATATTGTGAATGATGGTAAACTATAAAGGATAAATTGCAATTGAAACCACTAATTTACTCCACTAATTGCGAGGTTCTGAATGAAGCTTGAAGCTTCATTCGAACATAGAGAAAGCTTAATTTTTAGCTTATAAAACAATCAACTTTTAGTTTCTAACTACAATTTCTCTTGACGATAATCAAAGGCCAAAATGACATTTTTCGTAAATTTTGAAGTATAATTAGTGGAAAAGTTAAATGTTTGATAACTTTTTCTACTAATTGAAAATGTCTACCACTAATTTTGACGTTCTGAATGCTTAGATTGAAATTAAAGGAACAATATCTTTATCATTTGCAACGAACCTTAACAACGAACAACGCTAATTGAAACCACTAATTGATTCCACTAATTGCTATTTTTGCTATTTTTTTTTTCTTAATGCAAAAAAATAATGCTCTTTTATTTTTGTTTTAGAGGCTGTCGCTTCTTTCATTATAAGTTTTGCATTGTTAAAATCTACCCTGGACCCTGTGTCCCATGAATGCTGACAAATCTTAGATTTGTGAAAATCGCCCTTTCTTAAATAATCTTTATGTTCTTTAATTCTAACATTTAAGGATCTAGATGTTTCACCAATATAAAATTTATCACATTCACATGGTATTTTGTATATTACACTTTTTGTTTATTGTCCAGTGTTCATTGGTTTAGTGTGTGTTAAAATGGATCTAAGTGTATTTTATTTTTTGAAAGATGTTCGTATGTTATATTATTTTCCTATCCTTCTTATTTTTTCCGAAACGCCTCTTTTTTTTGGAGAGACGAATCCGCCACAGAGGTAGAGATATTTTTTAATATAAGTATTATTTAAAAAAACTGATTATTCAGAAATGTAAATGTTTTCAACATTTATGGAACTTAAAAAGATAACTTATAAAGATAAACTGATAGTCCTTAAACAAAAAATAAATAGCCCATTAAAATATAAATAAATGTAATGTTGAGGCATGTAGATGTTAGCAGGGCCGTTTCTGGCGAGCTTGCAGTGCGTGCACGCACGTAGGCGCAACATTTTGGGGGCGCAAAATCAAAGGGTCAATCAGTACTTTATAACAAAAAACCGATTCGCTTTCTTGCCAATAAACAAATACTTAAACCATCATACGATAAAGTTTGCTTAGCGTCTTTTTTGCGTTGGCCGCACCGAATAAACAAGTATAGGGCAATCTGTCGGCAACATATTGATCTCATCTATTTATTTTTCATTTTATTCATTTTATGGAAAGCACTGTTCATTAAAATGTTGTATACTATCTTATAGGGCTTGTTTCTCTCTACAATTTCCTGTCTCAAAATGTACTGTTTGTGTCGGGGAAGGGATCATAATTTCATAGTTGTCGATTTTCGAAAGAAATCAGTACATGTATATTATTTCGTATATTTTTCATTTTATTGATACTATGGAAAGCACTGTTTATTAAAATGTTGTATCCTATGTTATAGGGCTTGTTTCTCTGTACAATTTCCTGTCTCACATTGTACTGTTTGTGTCGGGGAAGGGATCATAGTTTCATAGTTGTCGATTTTCGAAAGAAATCAGTACATGTATATTATTTCGTATATTTTTCATTTTATTGATACTATGGAAAGCACTGTTTATTAAAATGTTGTATCCTATGTTATAGGGCTTGTTTCTCTGTACAATTTCCTGTCTCACATTGTACTGTTTGTGTCGGGGAAGGGATCATAGTTTCATAGTTGTCGATTTTCGAAAGAAATCAGTACATGTATATTATTTCGTATATTTTCTATTTTATTGATTTTATGCAAAACACTGTTCATTAAAATGTTGTATCCTATGTTATAGGGCTTGTTTCTCTCTACAATTTCCTGTCTCAAAATGTACTGTTTGTGTCGGGGAAGGGATCATAGTTTCATAATTGTCGATTTTCGAAAGAAATCAGTACATGTATATTATTTCGTATATTTTCTATTTTATTGATTTTATGGAAAGCACTGTTCATGAAAATGTTGATCCTATGTTATAGGGCTTGTTTCTCTCTACAATTTCCTGTCTCAAAATATACTGTTTGTGTCGGGGAAGGGATCATAATTTCATAGTTGTCGATTTTCGAAAGAAATCAGTAGATGTATATTATTTCGTATATTTTCTATTTTATTGATTTTATGGAAAGCACTGTTCATGAAAATGTTGATCCTATGTTATAGGGCTTGTTTCTCTCTACAATTTCCTGTCTCAAAATGTACTGTTTGTATCGGGGAAGGGTTCATAATTTCATAGTTGTCGATTTTCGAAAGAAATCAGCACATGTATATTATTTCGTATATTTTCTATTTTATTGATTTTATGGACAGCACTGTTCATGAAAATGTTGATCCTATGTTATAGGGCTTGTTTCTCTCTACAATTTCCTGTCTCACAATGTACTGTTTGTGTCGGGGAAGGGATCATAGTTTCATAGTTGTCGATTTTCGAAAGAAATCAGTACATGTATATTATTTCGTATATTTTTCATTTTATTGATTTTATGGAAAGCACTGTTCATTAAAATGTTGTATCCTATGTTATAGGGCTTGTTTCTCTCTACAATTTCCTGTCTCAAAATGTACTGTTTGTGTCGGGGAAGGGTTCATAATTTCATAGTTGTCGATTTTCGAAAGAAATCAGCACATGTATATTATTTCGTATATTTTCTATTTTATTGATTTTATGGACAGCACTGTTCATGAAAATGTTGATCCTATGTTATAGGGCTTGTTTCTCTCTACAATTTCCTGTCTCAAAATGTACTGTTTGTGTAGGGGAAGGGATCATAGTTTCATAGTTGTCGATTTTCGAAAGAAATCAGTACATGTATATTATTTCGTATATTTTTCATTTTATTGATTTTATGGAAAGCACTGTTCATTAAAATGTTGTATCCTATGTTATAGGGCTTGTTTCTCTCTACAATTTCCTGTCTCACAATGTACCGTTTGCGTCCGGGAAGGGTTCATAATTTCATAGTTGTCGATTTTCGAAAGAAATCAGTACCTTCATGTGTATTATTTCCGAATTTTAGTTTA